GGGGACAATTACAAAAGAGTTTGAATCTTGACCCAATAGATGTGGGCCTTGGGTGACCCACCTCACTTCTCTGAGCCTGAGTTTCATCTTCTGCACCTGGCCCGAGGCTCCCTCCTGATGTGCATGTGAACACCCAGTACCATGATGTGCACAGACCTTGGCACATCCGGGGAAGCGAGCAGGTGGCGAGGTCAGCTCTAACCCAACCATTCATCTTCCAGCCAGCAAGGGTGATGGGAGGTAAACTGCACCAGGCTCTGTGCTAGGTTCTAGATAAATTCTACATCATATAGACACATATCCATACACACTCATACACATACGGGTGTGTACATGTTTATATACACATACATGCACACATACTTCTCTCTCTCTTTATATATATAGAAAATATATTATTTTTGCATATGTATATTTTTCCCCAAGAGGAAGGTGGAAGGACTGATACAGGTGTCACCGAGCAGAAGCACACCCAGTTCTCTGTAAAGCTGCACTTTGTCTGCAGAAAGCCATGGTGCAGTCTGTGCTGTTAAATCAGTCATTCCGGATGGTGGAGATGGATTCCTCCTCATTCCACTTTTTCCCTTGGTCCTCCTTATCCTGTTTTGCTCACTGACACCTCCATGGGGTCAGAAAAGAGGTCCATTCAAATTAGTCAATTCGCTTTTTTAGTCACTGTTGGGAACAAGGTGGGAGGGTGCAGAGGCAGCTACTAGTGGATTTTTGAAAGGCAGAGTTGAGGCAGTGTCTGTGCCTGCTGCACACCCCGATCCCTCCCCACCCATCACAGGGGACCGATGTTGGCCCCTATTTATGAAGCGTGGTTCTGTACCAGGAGCATCTCTCTTCCAGCTCCCAAGTCCTGCTCATCCCTCAATGCCCAGCTCACACGGTCCCTCTTGGAGTCTTCCCTGACTTCCCTGGGCAGAGAGCATGCTTCCTCCTCTATGTCCATATCACTGTGTCCATGCTGGGGCTCTTACCCACTATCTGCTCCTCTGACTGATGGCTCCCCTGTCCTTGTCACATGATCATTAACTCCCCAAGAGGATGCCCATTTCTGAATTGTCTTGGTGGCCACAGGCCCACCACAGTGTCTGGCATGTGGTGGGCACTCAGGAATTATCTGATTAACGACTGTGCACTTTCTAAAACAAACACTTCTATTTCAGTATTCAGCAGAGAGAGGGTTAAAAGACGGGCACCACCCATTCACTTTCTGACTGTAAAAAAATGTAAAAAGACCTAAATTCCGTCATTTATACTAAAACAGTATGCGCTTTTGCCAGCCACTACCCCTATCAAAAACAGGGCTTATGTTCTAACCATTTCCAGGCAATGTGTGTACCCAGACTGGACACGAAATGCTGTCAACGCTCAGCATTCACAAGGATGCTCGGGGTGGAAAGGGCTGCTGTGCTTATCCAGGATCCACCAACAACCATCTTATTCCACTGATCTGTGTCAACCTATTTTATAGCTGAGGGACCTGGGATCTCATAATAGTATGAGCAGCATAAAGCAAGCATGTTAAAGGTCATGAATTTAAGCCCTTCACTTTCTAAAACTCCAATCCTATCAGGCCTTCCATTTTTGCTTAAAAACTGTTAACAGCTCTGGGCTGTCCTCAGAACAGACTCAAGGCCCCTCGCAGAACCTCCAGCTCCTCCCTGAATGTGTCCGTGTTCCACAGCTACAGCACGACGGTGCACAGTCCCCCGCGCAGTCCCCCCGAGGAGCAGACGTGCTTGTGCTTCTCCGGGGCCTGGAAATTCCCAGCACCTTCCCTGAAGGTTCCCATCCTCCCCCACACTCTTTACCTGCCTGACCCCTCCCCATCTCTAGCACTGAAAGGTGACAGCCCATCCCCAGGGAGCTTCCTGGTCTGCCTTGAGTCGGGCAGGGCCCCTCCTCCGGGCTGCCTGACACCTATTCTTATGCAGCACTGATAAGTGTATGTTGTCTCATCACCAGCCCGTCTCCCAGTAAAACCACAAACAACTCAAGGGCAGGGCTCAATGTGGTCAGCATTTCTCCCCAGTGCCCAGTGCGGGTGCTGACATATAAGAGGCACCCAAATGTTTGCTGAATGAATCCATCCTCCCTCCACCCTGAAGGCAAGACTTGCCAATAGTCTATTATGTAAGTGAATTCCAAGAGAATTGGTAGAAATGACCTATGGGAGGTTCCAGTGGAAAATTCCTACTCTAACAAACTGGTTCTACAATGACCAAATTAGGACAACTGTTTACTTGGACAGAATTTATCAATGCAACTTCCCCAAGATGCCTTGAATCAAGCCATAGGCTCCTAAGGACGGGCCAGGACTCCTTCATTCACAGGCTCAGTAGCAAGAGCCCATACAGACTCCTGAAGGAATGACTACTCTGTCGGGTAAGAGCACCCATCCTCCTTCCACTAAGGGATGCTTCAGAGGCCGGGCCTTTGAGCTGCTCTGGGGAAGAGAGAGGAGGAAAAGAAGTATCTTCAGAACAGCCAGCCACAGCAGTCCTCGCAGCAGCCTCCGAGGCCCGCACCACCTGCCCACTCCTCTCTGTCCTTACCTCCTTCCAAAGGCCCCTTGTTCCTCTCTCCAATCCTAGGGTCACTTGCAGTCCTGTGAAGCCAAGTGCAATCCCCTTCGTTCCAGCTGTTCCTTCCTGCCTCACTCCCTCACTTCCTCCAGATCCTGCTCACATATTGCCTCCTCAGGGAGGCCTTCCCTGGCACCCTATATAAATCAGCAATGCCATTTCCTCCAGCTCCCTCTCTCTCTGGTTTGGCTTTATTTACTTATCATTTTCTGCTTTATTTTTCTTCCATAGCACTTAATACAGCTTCATATAGTACACGTATGTTTGTTACTTGTTGATGCGTCCCTGATCCTACTCAAATGCAAAGTACTCTGAAAACAGGAACTTTGATTTTTTTTGCACTGTATCCCTAGCACCAAGAACAGCATCCCCTGCATGCCGCATAGGACACGCTGTGTAAATATTTGCTGAATGAATGGATGGCTGGGTGAACAAATGCCCTGTAAGAGCTAAGAGGCCAGGAAGAAAACCCTGGATGAGCAAGCGCATGGAATCTGTCTTGCTGAGTGCAGGGCCAGGACGCCTTCCCCAAATCAATGAGCCCGCCCTTCTGGGTCTTGGAAGTATGCCAGTTTGAAGTGAAAAGCTGCTGGAGGAAGTTAGTTTTCAGCTACCACCTCATGGGACAAAAGAGGGAGTCACAGTACTAGGAGCGTGGTAGGCCCTGAAATTGGATAGGACACTGCAAACCTCCCAAATGGCTGGGTTGGAGCAGAAAATCTGGCCAAAGCCCAGGGGAGGGAAGGCTGCTTAAATTAAACAGAAGCTCTGAAATCAAAAGCCTGTTAACAGCTTCTGTCTTCTTTAGGTGGTTGGGACTTACAATGTTTGTGGACAAGGCCTACCCTTAAATCTTAGTTCAAATGGAATCCAGGTATGAGATCAAAGCTATATTTAAGTAGCTCTACAAAAGGTTGGGTGGGGAAAGGAGCTAACATTTGCTGAGGTCTACTGCATGCAAGAAGCTATGCTCATGCATTATCTCATTTAATCCTCACTACCAGCCTGTAACAGAATGTACAGTCTTCATCTTACAGGTAGGGACACAGAGGCTCAGGAATTGTAATGATATAAGAAAAATCACTCAACTATTAAATAGCAGAGCTAAGATTTGAAGTCAGATCTGTCTAATTCCAAAACCTGCTCCCCTTCCTCTGAATCAAGTTATAGCTCAGGGACCACTCTAGAGAAAGAAGCCATAAGAGGAAGAAAGGAAGGAAGAATGAGATAAACCTATTTCCCAAAGAATGAGAATCTGGCACAATGAACATGTCTGGGATATGTTCCTGGGAACTCAGACCTGTATAATGCATTAGATGTCACCTGCTCTTACCTTCTGTCCTATGCTAGGCTTCATGAAATGCTTCTGGTTTTAGTTTTCAAGGAAACTCAAGATATCTAGCTGAAAAAGAAGTTTCAGGACAGAGGAGAACAGGAGGTAACACCAGCATACAGGGAAAGAGTAACAGGTGTATGGCCAACTCAGTGCACTGCCATCTCCTTCATGAGTCCTGGTCTTATAACTGGGGGTACCCTGGTCTCGCCCAAGAGAGATGTGTTAAGATGCGAGAGTGCAGGGAGCTGAATCCTCACCAGATCTTTAGTCATTGGGGAGGGATGTCAGCACATGTCAGGTGCAAGTTCAACGAAGAAGTTCAAGTAGATGTGGCCATATTCTTGCACATAAGAAGAAAAGTGTCTATAACTGATTGGGAGGAGGCAAGAGAGGAGAGCAGTAACAAGAGAGAAAAAACATGTTGGCAGTCGGGGCAGAGGGCGATGGGCATGGTTAGCAGCGGCTGGTTCACTGCAAGCACCCTTGGATGACAACTTTGTGAACTGAATTTATCTCTAAAAATGTTATAGCAAGGCAGGTCTCTGGCATGAGATCTAAATTCCATCTGAGGAGGTTGGTTATTAAAGGACTTCTCTGTCTGTGTATCTAAATCTGGTTGTCCAGGGATAGGCAGAAAGGAATAACAATCACACTCCATCTTAAATAAATTCTGCAAGGAAAAGGTAACCTAAAACTACAGCTCTAACCTGCTCTCCTCTGCATGTAGTTCTAAGCTACTCTGTTTCAAGCCTAAACATGCAAAATACTCAAGATAGCACAGATCCCACGCAGAATGCAGCTATAAAACTCAGGAGCCTTTAACCATTTCAAAATCACAGCTACCTGGAAATGCATGTCAAATATGATGTGTATCTTTGTTTTTGTTTGTCTTTCTTTAGATGGATGTGATATTGGGAGGCATGGCTTCTAATCAAAGATGGCAAATCTGGTGAAATGACTGTCCTTACTACTTGAAAGTATTCTATAAGCATGCACATTACACACTCCTTACACTAAAACGTTGGTTATGACTGTGCTATATGCTATAACCAAAGTCAGCTGTTTCTTACCTGCAAATATCTCCTGTGATTCAGTTGCACCAATCCAGGCTGATAGGACGAACCAGCTGAGCAGCTGTCTGGCCAAGGCAAGTTGGGCTCCCCAAATCAGAACTGTGGCCCTTAGAGTCCTGTAGCTCCTCTGTCGTTAAATTAGTAATAATCTGCTAAAAGGGAATGCAGGTCAAGTTATCATGAGAGGCGGTTTCCTGTTCTCCTCTAGTCACAATATATTCTTTTAAGGAGTGCAGAGAGAGTCACAGGCATAGATTACCGGGGCTCGAAAACATCTATGAGATGATCTTGTCAATTTTTTTTCATTTTGTAGTTGGGGAAGTTGAGGCTCAGAGTAGAAAACAGCCTCATTCAAGGATTCAGCACTTTGGGAGTAGAATCCAGATTGGAACACATCTCTGACTCTCTGGCCTTTGGAATGTTTTAAAAAAGCAGCCACATGGTCAGGCTGACTTCTCAAACAAATGGTCATCGACCCTGAATGTGAAGTCTTTTTTTAAAATAGATTTTCAAAAAGGGAGGTGGCACTTTTTCCAGATTGCTGTTTTTGTAGTTCTACCCCTGGGAACTAAACTAGTAAAACAGTCTACCTCAGCCATGTGGTTGGGATGGCTCTCCCTGTTTTCCATTAGAAAAATATTGTTATGGAATACCACCACCCACAACACAGCGGTGGGTGACTCTGTTTTTCAGTAACAGGCATGAGTGCACCCAGATGGTAGGTCTCTCTCTCTCCCTCTTTCTCTCTTTCTCTCCATGTTTCAGGGAAACACAGTAACAGATATGGACCCTCCTGCCATGAGTATCATTTATTATGGGATTTTTCTGGCTACTGTACGTTTGAACAGCCACTCCATGCAGAAAACCAAATCATAGAGGGAAAAAAAAGGAGCTCATTTTTATTAAGCAGACAGTAGCTGCCCAGCATACCACTTGAATTTTGTAGATACATTTACCTAATTTGTCCTCAAAAAATCCCTGTGAGGTACTATTAACTTTATTTTTCCAAAAAGCTAGGAAACTGAGCTTTTGAGAACTAGAATGATCTGCAGAATCATAAAGAGAATACAGTGTAGGAACAGCAATGAACCCATGCCCAACTCCTAAATCTACTTTTTATTCAGCTAAACTGGACTAGAGGAGTTCTGTATCTTCTCCACTGTTTTAGCTGAAATGCGTGAGAAATATCTTTGGAAGCTGAATCTGTTGTAAAGACATGGAGGATTATTCTTATTGATTCTCTTTCAGAGAGGGGGCGGTCCAAAGGCCATGTTTCCTGCCCGGCTCCCCGCTGGGGCTCCCATGCCACAGAGAGGCTGGGCTGGCCCAGGTTCCCAGCAGTGCAGAGAGGGCACCTCAGGAAATCATGATCCTCCACACTCAGGCTTTGTTCCTGTTCTCAGACAACAAGGGACAGGCCAGTAGAGATGGGGTGGGGGTGGAGAAAGAGGAAGAAAAAACAGGAAGTGAAGTGAGGAGGAGGGAAGGAAATGATAGAGAAAACACAGCAACTTTGAAACACTGTCCTTGGCCTGATGAGAAAGTAATTTCTGAGCCGACCTTGTCGAGCTGAGCCCTGTACTTTAGGAAATCATGTCATGCTGATAATGAGGGGAGAAAAGTTTGTTTTCCATGGACGTGGGGTTGGTGCCCATAAATTCCATTTCCCACCACAGAGGCAGCCTGACACAGCCAGGTGTAGGCACAGAAGGTGATGAATTTCCAAAGGAGTCTTGGGTAAGACCATGTCCCTCACCTCTTGGCTGTGGCTGAGAGGCCAGGTGTGTCACAAAAGGATCTGGAGACAAGAGAGAAGCTGTTGAAGTGATCGGATACCAGGGAGAGCTATCCCATCCCTACCTCTTCCTTTCTCAAATGCTCTCAAATTTGTGACCTGTTTTCCATGTGTAGGATTGTGGTTGATTTGCCCAACTGGGTGCAGCAAGGATCCTGCTATCTTCTACCACAAAACTCAGCAGGATGCTGAGTCTCCTCCAAACCACGATTCTAAGTTTCTTCCCAAATACTTCCCTGTCCATTTTGTCAACTCTATTATTTAACAGAAGCTTATGGAATTTCCCCAACTCCACATGCACATCACTAAGGATGGTAGTGATAAGTTGAACAACCTGCTAAGTTGAACAACCACACAAAGAGATAACCCTAATGATAACAACCTAACAATACTGTAATACTAATACTTCGTTGCAGCTCTCTGATGGGCACCAGGAAATGTCAAGCCCCCAACAGGCAAACCCTCAGAGACCAGTCCCACCACCCCAGTGGTTCCCCCAAACGGGCTGTGCATCTAGGAAGCTGATAAAAAAGAACAGACCCAACCCAGAGTAGGGGCCAGGAAACTTGTATCATTAAAAATCTCCTGGGAAAATTTTGGTGTCACTGACTGGCTCTGATCCATGGACTAGCATTTGGATACCATGGACCCTAATTCAGCTCTCACCACTGCCCCACCTCCTCTCATCTTACAGATATGATCACAAAAGCCCTACAAGAGCAGGGCCCACCCAAGTTCCCACAGCTAATGGCCTTCCAGGGAGCTGCCCCGGATTCTGTAAACTACTCCCCACCATCCAAACAAACACGGAGCAACACCAAGTGATTCTATCTTTGAGAGGAGTCCAGGCTTTTTGAAATGGTTGCTTGTGGTTTACTGCATGAGTCACCCAAGGGCCAAATGCCCATTAGGGAGAACAGAGATCAAGTAAGGAAAGAAAGGTAACCCTCCCGTCTCTGGTGTCCACACGCAGCCTAGGCTCACTTCACACCAGCGATAATGTGCTCCCGTCCCTGCAGTGGTGGATGGCCAGGGCTGAGTCCCTCTCCTCCACTCCTGGAGGACAGTAACAGCACCCAAGCCAGGCAGAAGGAGTCGCCGTCCTGTGGCACCTGGCCACCAGCAATGCATTCTTCAATATCTCTTCTTCTTTGGTACAAAGCTGAAGGGTAATTACCCATTTTAAAAATGGAGGAACTGAAATCCAGATACATGAAGTGACTTATCCAGGGTCACAAAACGGAACAAAGACTGGAACAGGTATCTCCTGACTTCCAGTCCAGTGAGTGACCTTTTCCCTACATCATGTGGCCTCTTCCCCCATTCATGGGGGAGGGGGCAGCTGAGGAATATTTAAAACGGCTGCATGTCTTCTACTTTTGAAAGGTCCTGGAAGCGGGAGGACAGGACTGGGGGCAAACTGAAGGGAAGGCAGCATAGATGTAGAGAGGAAAGGCCTGAAAGACCACATTCCCACCCTCTGGGGCTTGCCAGATAAGGGATCTAAGCTTGTTCAAAGTCTCACAGTTCACCGGTAGCAGAGCTCAGACTTTGAATCAGAAAAACTTAGTGTGGCCCACTTCCCACAACACCAAGA